GGTGATTGTGATTTTTTCTTTTAGTGTAAATCAGGAATGAGTGCAATACACGGAGGTATTGTAATTGTTAGATTTAGATTGTATCATAACCGTCTATTAAGTAATCAACGATTGAGATTAAAAGTAGTGGTCTCTCCACTACTTTTATATAGTAGAAAGGATCCAAATTCAGGGAAAAGTATTCCTAAGGTGACGCCTTAGATAATCATCTAAGGACGCGGCCTAAAATCACATGATTGAGCAATATTATGGATGATCCGCTTTGTTGAACTTGATCTACATATTGTAAAACCCCAACACATTAAGTTTGGGATAAACTCGTTATCATTTGACCCTCCGTCGAGCCATGTAAAAAACTTTATTCATTCAAAATCGTTAAAAATTGATACGAGTGGATGATGGGTCAAACGACGTGGGTTCACCCCAAACTTAATGTGTTCTGGTTTTAGAATATGTAGATCAAGTTCAACGAAGTGGATCATCCACAATGTAGCTCAATCATGTAATTTTTAACCGCATCCTTTGATGGTTATCTAAGGCGTCACCTTAGGAACACTTCTCCCTTTTTAGAAACAAATTAGAGCCTTATTTGGATTAGGAAGTAAATCTACTTTGATCTTAAATTTGACCTATTTATTTTCTCAATTTTATATTCAATTACTTAAAGATCAAGTTAAATCCTTGTAGGCTGTCTAAAAAAAAAGATAGCTGATTCTCCATCAAACACCGATGATGGAAGTTACAATCTGACGACTTCCAGAAGGCTATCTTTAGCAACACTCTGACAGAAAGAGATTACAAATCGACGATCTCTTCAAACCAAGACGTGGAAGTCCTCCCTACGTACCATCTTCAAGACACAACACCAATTTGATCACCTACGCAGCTTCAACCGCTGCAAACAAAGATACAGCTGCTTATGTGAGATGATTGATCTTGATGGCTACGACAACAACATGACTAATATTATATTAGCAACTATTAGAGGTGTTGATGAGCAGTGTAATGATATTCGACACACCGAGGAGCACATGGTTAAATCATGCAAAGAAATCTCAGTGGAGATCGTGACACCGAGGAGCACATGGTTAAATCATGCAAAGAAATCTCAGTGGAGATCGTGACCTGCAGTTGATAGAGCATTATTGAGATGCCTCAATTGTCACAAATGGCCTGAATAAGACCTTCTCAACTGGTCATTAGTGTCATCCATATATAAAGACAGAGAAACCTGAACGCAGCTTCAACAAACAGCTCGAACGCAGCTCCATCGCTGTCCAACGCAGCTCATCATCGCAGCTCGAACGCGGCTCCAACCGACGTCCAACACAGCTCATCATCGCAGCTCGAACGCGGCTCCAACCGACGTCGAACGCAGCTCATCATCACTGCCCAACGCAGTTCATCAACCGCTGCCAAACGCAGCTCCATCGCTGCCCAACGCAGCTCATCATCGCTGCCCAACGCAGCTCCAACCGACGTCGAACGCAGCTCCAACCGACATCGGACGCAGCTCTATACTGCTGCCAAACTCACCTTCAAACATCGAAGAACGCAGCTCAATATCGCTGCAGAACGCACCTTCAGATGCTGCGTTCAAACACAGAATTTAGGCCAGAACGCATGTCAAAGTTCTGACCTGTTCATTTCGAAAACTGCTCTTCACCCACGATTTGAGGAATGGCTTACGTGGGTTGTTACACCCGATCAATGGGGTAACTAAGCCCCCATAGGTGCGGATTATGGGGGGGCAGTTACACCCCTAATCCCCCTATAAATATCAACAAACTCAACAGAGTTGGAGATCCCTTTTTTGGATTGCTTAGATCAGATTTTTGATAATCAGATCAAGGGACGAGATATCATCGAAGATCAGATTTTCTGGAGAGGATCTTAGAGAGAGAGTTGGAGAATTAACTCTTTATATAGTCTGGGGAATCAACATCCATTGGAGGGATCCAGACGTTAGTTACTTGGCTTATTAACCGAATCATTTTCGGTTCAAACAACTCTTTTTATCAGAGTTTGTTATTCGTTCTGAATCACAAAACTCGTCAAGAGTTATCAACCAGACAAGATCGTTGTTCCAGTGAACATAGATATTCGGATCGTCAACGAGAAGCAAACTCGACGCGAGCATTCGAGGGAGGCATCTCATCGCCACCGTGAAGAACCCAGAATTAAACAAAGGAGAGAATCCAGATCATTCTCTTCTCTTTTGTAATCAGGAATTCAAATTGTAATCAAGAGTAGAGAGAGTTGTAATCATTCTTTTTCTAAACAGTTAGAAAGAATAAAGTCAAACACAATTTTTTCATTCATTTTCTTATTGCAAATTTTCCGACAAACAATCCTATAGCTATGAGGAATTTCTATCCTATGTTTATAATCAATTCATGTATAGTACAAATAAGATCCTTGACCCCTCTTGTTTTTCATCAATTCATCAATCGAACTTGTAAATAATTGAGGTCTTGACTATTTGAAAGGAAGACCACCTTCATTATAAAACTTCTTTTATGTAATGGCTGAGGATTGCTGATTTGGACTCAGATTTTTTTATTGTATTTTAATTTATGGTGTTATTCGTTTCGGACTAGAATTTGGATTTAAATTTAAGGTATTATTAGTTTAAGACTAGGATTTGGATTTAAATTTAATGTGTTATTAGTTTAGGATAAGGATTTGGATTTGAATTTAACATGTTATTAGTTTAGGACTAGGATTTGAATTTGAATTTAAGGTTTTATTGGTTGTCTATGATTGTTTTTAGGACTAGGATTTTAAAATCTATACAACATTCCATCTCTATAGTTTTTAATGAGAAATTTTTAAGAAAAAATCCAAGTTAAATTTGATGGATTGTGATATTACTATGTGGATTTTCTCTCTAATCTTCTCTTTACTTATTTAAATTTTTAATATATTTCAAATTAAACTTATTTATTTTTATAATATTCCATATTTCTATGTTATTAACATTGAATGTATTTATTTTAAAATATTTTTAGTCAACTTCTATAAATTTATTTAATTCATTTAAAATAAAATATATTTAGTACTATTTAATCACTTAATATATTTAATATTTAATATTTATTATTTAAAATAAAATATATTTAATATTAATTAATCACTTAATATATTTAGTACTATTTAATATATTTAATATTTAATATTAACTTAGATATGTTCATTATTTAACATTTATTAAATATATAAATACTTCAAATATTTAATACTACATTAGATAAACTTTATTTAAAATGTTTAAATGGACTAAAAATGTATTCAATTTTGTTGTCATCCGTTAATCAAAATGAGAGTAGTTTTTTAAAATTAATATTTATTTTTTGCTAATGATTATTATTCAACATAATAAATTTAAAACTCCTACTGCAGATAATCCACCAATCTAAAATTTAGTCAGAGAATCCAACCATCAATCTATAAAACCAAAGCAAAAGTTTCAAGAATCCACACCAAAAGTTCAAGAATGCTACTCACAAAAATCAAAAATCCAATACAAGAGTTTAGGTCAAAGTTCGGGGCTTTGACCATAAAATCCGAGTCCAGGTCCCAATCCAAGAATGTCGGATTTATGGACAATTGTCCGGGTCCAAATCAACAATCTGGAAAGAATATAACCCCTTAGGTTTTTCTTTGTAAATGTTTTTCTTCTTCTATTTAGATCTTGCATTGTCTTCTTTTATTTTTGTTTGATTTTATTTCATGTATAGCTAATTTAATTTAGGTTGCTTAGCATGATGAAGCTAGGTAGTTTTCACTTAAATAACTAGTTCCTCCTTTTGAGCTTAATTTACTCATGTTCTAATTAGTCTAGGCTATTAATCAATAAAATAATTATATTTTGGTAGGTTATAAATATTTAAATACGTGAAAAAGCAATTTCATTAAATTTTTTATTAATAAATACCCCTAGACAGCTATACCCATTTGGGCTAACCGTTTGGGTGATATTTTTCTTTTTTATTTTATTTCACTCAAACATTTTAAACCATTTAGGGCATCTCCAACCCATCGCACCAAAATGGTGCAAATTTTGTACCAAAATGGTGCAAAACTCACATCTAACAGTAATTCATCTCCAACCCACTGTACCATTTTTTGCACCAAAAAGGAATATTCTCAGTATCTTTCTTTTTATCTACTTTTATATTATTATTTTTTATTCCCTATATTTTTTAACTATTTCAACAATTAACCCCACATATCAAATTTTATTTTTTCACATATTTTCCAAACAAAATGATTTATTATTTAAAAAATTAAACTAATAAAACAATAAAATATTATTTTATTAATTAAAATAACTTGATTGCTAAAATATTATATTTTTATTATTGATATTGCCAAAATATTACATTCAAAAACACAACAGAAAATAAAATACAAGAAAATAATTAAACATTAACAACAATATAAAAATTACAAATTTAGTATGCACTTAACTATCTAATTAGTGTATTCGTCCCATAGATTATCTATCAATGCATTAAGAAGCGCAATATGGGCATCTTTATCCTTGATTTTTTCGTAACGTGCAATCAATTGAGTAAATCTTGTAGTTTCATCTGCTACCATATCAACTTCTGGTGTTGGTGCCGTAACGTGCAATCAATTGAGTAAATCTTGTAGTTTCATCTGCTACCATATCAACTTCTGGTGTTGGTGCTTCCCTCACTTCTTTCATCTGCTACCATATCAACTTCTGGTGTTGGTGCTTCCCTCACTTCTTGAATTGGTGCATAAAGATCATGTTCATCCTCGATTATCATATTGTGCATAATAATACATGCAGTCATTATGTCATGTAATACATGTTTTTTCTAAAAACGTGCTGATCCTGCCACAATTGCAAATTGTGATTGGAGAACTCCGAACGCACATTCTACATCTATTCTACATGCTTCCTGTTTCATGGCAAAATATTTTTTCTTCCTACCTTGTGGCTATTGGATTGTTTGTACAATAGTAGCCTATTTTGGATATATACCATCAGCTAAATAATAACCCATATTATACTCTTTTCCTTGAATAACATAGTAAGCGGGAGGAACAATACCTTGAGCTAGGTTAGAGAAAAGATTAGATGACTCCAGCACATTGATATCATTATTGGTGTATGGCATACCAAAATATGCGTGCCATATCCAAAGATCATAATTTGCCACAGCTTCAAAGATAATAGTTGGTGACCCACTACGTTCTGTGTATTGCCCAGACCATGCTGTTGGACAATTTTTCCATTTCCAATGCATACAATCAAGACTTCCTAACATTCCTGGAAAACCACGTTTTTTACCAATATAGAGTAGCCTAGCAATATCGTTAGCGTTAGGTGTTCGTAGATACCGCTCTGTGAATATCTCCACCATAGCACGACAAAATCTTGTCATACTTTCAATTTCTATTGACTCACCTATTTTAATGTATTCGTCCGTAGCATCAGCTGGTAGACCGTATGCCAACATGCGGAAAACAACTATTACTTTCTGTAATGGTGATAATCCCATTCTACCAAGTCCATCACTTCGTTGTTGGAAGTAATGGTCATGATCTTTCACTGCATCAACAATACGAATGAACAAACTTCTTGACATCCGATATCGACGACGAAACATATCTTCTCCAAAACGTGGATTATCGACAAAGTAATCTATGACCAAATTCTGATGCGCAGTTTCTCAATCGTGGTTGATCACTGCATGACCGGGAATCGAGCCACCATGGATCGGTTGGTAGTTTTATTGACGTAAATTGTTAGCGATGATCATGTTGTTGTTGATGTACTCACAAGTTATTTCTTCGGTTTCATCAATCTCTGTAATGATATTGGTCAGAAAATTATCATCATCCGAAGATGAAGATGATGATAAATATGATGGACCTCCAACATCAAAATTCATTTTTGGAGTAAGAAAAGAATGACTGAGGTATGCAGAAATGGAGAATAATAATTTTAACACAACAACGAATAATTGTGTGGATGTACCTAATCTAGTATGCTATTTATAAAACTTTGTTGAGCTGTGTATACGTTGGACAATGTGTAAAGCTGATCAGTTTTCAAAAAAATAATTCCCACTCGTACAAAGCTTTCACACAATTCCAGGAAAGATGAGCTGTGTATACGTTGGATAATGTGTAAAGCTGATCAGTTTTCAAAAAATGATTCCCACTCATATAAAGCTTTCACACAATTCAAGGAAAGTTGAGCTGTGTATACGTTGGACAATGTGTAAAGCTGATTAGTTTTCAAAAAATGATTCCCACTCGTACAAAGCTTTCACACAATTCAAGGAAAGCTGAGCTGTGTATACGTTGGATAATGTGTAAAGCTGATCAGTTTTCAAAAAATGATTCCCACTCGTACAAAGCTTTCACACAATTCAAGAAAAACTGAGCTGTGTATACGTTGGACAATGTGTAAAGATGATCAGTTTTTAAAAAATGATTCCCACCGATAACGTTGGACAATGTGTAAAGCTGATCAGTTTGTCCACAACAATTCAATTTCAAATGTTGACCACCGACAAATTCAAATTCAAACAAAAAAAAACAAATTTGGATTGGCTATAAATAACATTCACAGTTTCTACATCAAACCACCCAATTCGAAGCATTTCTTCAAAGTATTTCTAATCTCCAAACCAACCGCTTTTTATAAAAAAAATGTATGTTCGATCATCTGGATACACGGTTACTGAAGATGTGCTCCTTTGCCAAGTATTCTTGGATATTTCTCAAGACCCTAATATCGGTAGAAACCAGTCTCGAGATGCATTTTGGTCTCGTGTGGAGGACAGATACAATGAACTTCGAGACCAAAATTCTGATGTACGTAAGAGCCGATCAATTCGTTCTCGAATGGAAAGCATAAGTAATGAAGTAAGGAAATTGAATGCGTGCTTGAGACAAGTAGAGAATCTGAATCCAAGTGGTGCTTCAGATGAAGATATTGTAAGTATTTTATTAATTATCGTTTGAAATTTATTATTATTGTTGAAAAACATAACTTGATGTTCATTACAATTTGTAGTTAGTTCGAGCAAAGATGTTATTTATGCAAGATCCAAAGTACAAAAAAGGTTTCAAATTTGATCATGTCTGGAATATGGTTAAATATTTATGCAAGATCCAAAGTACAAAAAAGGTTTCAAATTTGATCATGTCTGGAATATGGTTAAAAATTTAAAAAAATTTAAAGATAATGTCCCCACATCAAGACAAGTTGGTCGAAGACAACCCCAAAGTGTGAACTTCGACTCGTTACAATCAGATAATCCCACTCCGGAATCTCCTATATCAACATCTCCTGGACTGTCATCATTTACTCCATCTGAACGGCCTATTGGGGTAAAAAAAGCGAAATTGAAAAGAAAAAAATGATGATCATGAGTCAAGCGTAGCGGACTCTATCGAGACCTCCAACAACCGACTTATAGACAGGTTAGACAAGGCGAGCTTGGACAGACAAGTAGCATTTGACATCGAACGAGAAAAGATATCTATGAAAAAAGATAGAGATGAATGGAAAATTATAATGAAAGATTTGAATTCCATTGCTGATCCAAACGTGCGTGAGTACGTTCGAGCTCAACCGATTAAAATAATACAAAAAAGAAATCAACAAGAACAAAGGCCTGCTTCTAATTTTGGCAATTATTTCAATGATATTGGACACTCTGGCCCCGATCTACCAGATTATTGAGAGTTGCTTGTCCATCTCAGTAAATGTTCCATGTTTAGTTTGTATTTTATGCAGTAATTTTAGAACTTAGAAATCCCTTGTCAGTTAGTACTCAGCAATTAACCTCAACACCTGATAATTAAACTTAATACATAATGGTTAAACTTAAGACTAAAGCCTTAAAGATGACATGTCAGTTTTACAAATCAACACGTAAGGTGTGAAATGAATTAACAATTAAACTTTTTGGCTGCCACTGCATCTCCTCCGTCATTTTTCCTCTTTTCTTAACAATCTTTACTCTTTCTTTTTCCTTAAACGTCACTGTATCCCTCAAAGACTGTTTCCTTTGACAAAGACGGTCAATTTTTAGTAATAACTTTAAATTTTGATTATTAACTATAAATTTCAAGAGTTAAAACCTTTACATTTTTTAAATATTTCAAATGTTGAAATCTTTATAATTTTCAAAGTCGACACTTAAAATTTATAATTAAAGTTAACATTCAAAAAATAACGCTCAAAAGTGATTGTTTTAGCCAAAGTAGACAATTTTTTAGGGATGTGACAGATTTTATAGAAGAATTAGAGATGGTTGATGAAAGAGGAAAAGTGGCCATGACGGCAAAAAAAACTTTAAGTGGTGTTAAGTTTGAATGTAAAATATTAAATTTTAATTGTTAGGTGTTAAGTTTGACTGTTAGGTGTTCCATTTAACTTTTGAGTATTAACTTTGACTGTTAGGTCTTGCATTAAGCCATTGAGTGTTAAATTTAACTATTACATGTCAACTTTTATGTGACTTTAAGAGATGTGCCGTTTAAGCTAAAGATGATAGGCTTTAAATGATGCAACAATAACTATATATAGAAAAAGAAGTAGAGGGATAATTGAAGAAATAGAAAAAAAAATATGGCGGAATAGTGACCGTGGTATTGAAAAAGATAATGATTAATAAACGATAAGAATAAAGATAAGGAGAATGCAATAAAAAAGGTGGCAGTGAAAGAAATAATGGTTGAGAAGAAGGAGAAGAGGAAGAAAATATTTTTCATGGGTTCATGGGAAAATAAAAAAAGATGAGAGGTTGTGTTGCGCCTAGAGAAACCAAACAATCGCCAAGAAAGATAAAGAACCAACCAAAATCAATAGCACAAACAATCAAACACCAGTTTTATGTGGTTCGACAAGATGCCTACGTCCACGGGGCAAGGAGAGGGGAGTTTTCACTATTAGAAATCAAGAGGAACAAACTAGGGTTACAAATCTCTCATAAACCCTCAACAATCAACTCTCAATCTCTCCAATTGCTCCTAGAATAGAAGCCCAAAAGAAAACTCTCTCAATCTGCTCAAATTCATCCTTACTCATAACCCTAAAAAACACCCAAAGGGTATTTATACAAATCCAAAACGAAGCGGGTCTGAAAACATGCCCAACTCAAAACCGCAGCGGCGGTCGACCGGTACGGTCGACCGCCCTCCATCCAGCAGCAAACCCAATGTCCAGAGAGGTCGTCGGTCGACCGACACGGTCGACCGCCCATAGATTCGGTCGACCGGATCGGTCGACCGCCACCAATCCTGAAGCCCAATAACTCCTGTGCACGAATGCGGTCGACCGGGCCGGTCGACCGCCACCCTGACAACCTGAATCCTGAGCCTGGAACCTGATCTCTGCCAATTCTACAAATCTCCACCTCGGTGAAGATTTCCCAAATCTGAGCCGACACCAAACAAACCAATGCCTCAACTATTGCATCCAGTACGCCATGGTAACGGACTCATGACAACGGACTCCATCCACAGCACGTCGAGACCCAAACGGGAGTGTGAACACTCAACCCCAAACCAACTGTGTCTACTCACCAAACAACTGAGCCTACACCGACTATACCAAATGCCTCACTTGCTGAGACCCAAGTGGGAGTGCGAACACTCACCCCAAATATCGATGTCGCTCACCAAATCGGCTGCATCATAAAGACTGCCTACGTATCCTCTTGCCCAAGGAATCAAGCCTTCACGTAGTTCACCATATGGGCCTCCAAAGGCCCTCAATCCAACCTGCGGCTGATAGCATCATCAACGACCCCAAACTGAAGCGATCCAAACACCTCCACCTGAGATGTAACAATGGCCGTATCCAAAACATATCCATCAGCTGCATCCAAATCAACTACCTCATCATCTGCACCCATAAATAAATGACTCCCACGCTGTGCCACCTCAGCTGGAATCCCAACCAATGCAGAATGACCTGGAGTATGTGGGTAAATCCCCACCCAATGTGGAGTAGCATCAACCTCCACCTGTTGCGATATCCCTCTGACCTGATCAATACTCTCCACCTGCCGAGAGTCCAAAGTGACAAACCTGCTCAGACTAAACTCAGAAGCTCCCAACTGATAACCAAATGAACTCCTGAATCTCAACTGCGCAATCGGATCCAACCTCACATCAACGATGTGACCAAGTGCTGGGTAGCCAAATATCCGACGCCGACCAAAATCTGAAATAGCTCCACCAGATCTAACAACTCTATACGCAGCAGTCGGCAACCTCATAAGATAGCCCAATCGTGTCGAAGCCCGAATACCAGATCCACTGCTCGACAACCAACGCCGATCCTCCTTCAGAAAAGAACGGCCCACTAAATCTGCCATCTCATCACGTCGCCCCATTGTCTCCTCTACTCTGAAGTGTCTCCAAATGCCATGATCTCGGCACCAATGCAAGAAAGGACACCTACTAGAACAAGTACGACTGGTAACCTTTCTGCCCATACACCTCCTCCAACTGTTGCGGACTACTAGGTCTTTATACTAACGGGACTTGGTTGCAACCCAAATATGCCTAGTACAATCCCCAACATAGGAAACAAAATAACGATTACCTCCCGATGATGCCT